GGTGGGCGAAACCTTTCTGCCATCTCCACTCTGAGGCATCAAGGACCAGGGCGTTTAAAGTTTAAATCTCTTCTCATTGCTTCTCATTGTCCTAGGAAGGGATGCCGCTGGTGCGCCAGCTAGAGATGAGCAGAAACCTACCTGGCCCTGCGGGTGGCCGTGCAGAGGGTCCAAGAGCACCCGCCGACTCTTTATTCATTCCGGAGAGTTATGGAGGTGGTGGTGATGAAGGAATGAGCAGGATTATGGGGAGGACGCCCAAGGCTTTCCTCTACACGGGGGTCCCATGAAAATCTCTCTCCCAAGTTGAAACTGCTGTTTGCCACAGGAAAGATGCTATCAATGTGCATCTTACGGCACTCAACCTGTGGTTAAATTTCCCATATAATCCTGAAACACAAAGTTTTGATTTCACATAAAATGCAAAGAGACTAAACTTTGTATGGTATTTTACTTTAAAACTGCTGAAAAAATTCTAACAAGGAAAGCATTGAAAGTGAAAGAAATGCCAAAATACAAGAAATGGAAAGTGCTGAAAGCTAATTCTGATTTTGGAACTGTGGAGTTGTAAACTTAATGTTACATGATTGTAAGTCCGGGTGTGCGAGTCCTAACTCAGTTGTGCAACACACACAAGATTATTCTTTGCTGCGTGGGCGATGCACTCTTATGGACCGTGAACAGTGCAAGCGCCAGAGCACAATTTGGAGAGGAAAGCTCTTTAGCAGATGGAGAAGGAGCAGTTGATTTGAGCCCATGGGCCAGAAGGAGCATCGCTTTTCATGAATGGGAAATTGTGAGGGGCCAGCCACGAAGGTACATGGGAACCGCCTGCAGTTATAGCAGATAAAGCAGGCAATCCATGGAATATACCTTATTCTGTTGTCCTGTGGAAAACTAATCCAGTGTTGCTTGGGGTAATTGTAAAAGGAAGAAAGAAACAGTCAGGGTGCACCATCCCCTCCAGAGGAAATGACTGACACAACCACCACAACTGAAATGAAAAAAATAAGGGACAGAATGGCAGAAAGGGTTGATTTTCAATGTGAAAGAGTCAGAAATCCTGAAAGTAAACATTGAGGGTGAGGAGTCGTTTTGGCAGGAAAAGGAGAGGGAGAAAGCAGGAGGGGCATTGTCCACGGGGAAGGGGGGGGTCCTGGATAGAAAGAGGAAAGGAAGCTCTGTGGCCAGGGCAGCGAGTGGGCAACCCTCAAGGTCCCCAAAGATGGATGGATTCATTGGTTTGCTTGCTTGTTTCATTATTTGCCCTGGAAGCTTAACTATTGGGAGAATAAGAAAGGTCGGTCTAGCTGGAACTTGACAGTAATCAAATAGGACGACAAGAGACCAGATTTATTACACGGTCGGCTGCTGCCAGGCCATTGAATCTGGACACTGGCCGGTCACCTGCAGCGCTGCGGGTGTCTACCCGGCCTTCGTAAGGGATCTGGGCTGAAGCTTGGAGAAAGGAAGAACCAGGAGGAATCTCCCTCCCTTGTGTTCCTTCTTCAGAATAATAAATAAACACAAGGCATGGGGGGGACTTTTAGAGGTGGGAGCCCTGGCCTCTCCCCCCCCCCTCGCCCTGCCGCCTGCCTTTCCTATCACAAGGCCTTGGCTGATTAACCTGCGTTATGTCTTCCACTTGCAGTAGAGGGGAGAAGCTGCTGGCACAATGTTGGTCTGCATGATGACAGTTTCGTCGGATTACGTTGAAAGTAGTTATTTATTTTATTTTAATTATTTTTACCCCACCTTTCTCCTTAAAAAGGATCCAAGGCTGCTTATATAATTGAAAGATGATGTTTAAAGCCAAAAACAATGAGTATAAATACCTTCTCCTTTTAACAAATATAACTGGAATGAACTCATGTTATAATTAACAGACTCAAATGATTTGATAGTAAAACTGTTTCTCTTAATGTAGACCTTTTTATCAATTACTATTCATGTCTTTTTAAAAAATGTTATTGTATTGCCCTTCATACAAATTTTTGAGGCATTATCCAATGATAAAACTACCCAACATAGCCTGAAATACAATTCAGCTGCAATGATGTAGCATTAAAATCAAGTAAAACAGGTTGAAAGGCTAGAACCGGCTTTTTGAATCAGTGTCAGGCAGGTACATCTTTTGGGTGGGAAGCGGGCAGAGTTCTGCCCATGGGGGGTGGGGAGGATAGCCAAGAACACCTTTTTCCTTCTTGCCACCCATCCCCTCGCATACGATGGAGGCCAATGAACTTATTGCAGCAGCGGGTGGATGTGGGTGCAGGGTGGTGTGTCCCAAACTCTGTAGGGCTTTTGTCATTTATGAAATCAGGAACACACCAGAGCTGTTTCTAGAAATAGATTTGTTGAGTATTTCATATGGATGGTAATCTGATCTGTGGACAGAATGGAGTGAAGTGGGGGAACCCTGAGACCTTAGATTGTGTTTGTCCTTATAAATGCCAGTCTAGCAGAAAATCCTTCTTTCTTGTGAATCTGACAAATGGCCGGCCAGTCAAGCATCGAAGATGGAGATGGAACATCTGTCCTGTGCCTGACCCCGTGACCAACGGACTGTGACGAAATAAGCTGCCCACTGGATGGATGGCTCAGCTCACTCTGTCCTTTACCCTCCAGCAATTGCCTGCCTGTCGTATCAAGGGCTGCTCGCCTGATGCCTCTGATTCTGACAATGAAATGGAGTGAATGTGATCTTGACAATCAGGAGGCTTAATTTCCCAGCATGTCGTCCTTAACACAGCCACTTTGCGCTAATACGCTTGCTTTGCCTCGAGGAAAAAAGATGCTGCTTCAGACTTCCTTAGGGAAAGATTGAGCCACTAATTTGGGGGGCGGGTGGGTTAATATTTAGTCATTCTTCAGTGTTGCCTCTTCGTGTAGTCAGAAGAAGGCAGTAGCAGTAATTTGTGCTGTGAGCAATAAGTATTTTCTTGAGCCAAGTTTCAGTTGGTATGGCATGGATCATTTCGCAGGCGGTGAGTTGGCTCTTTCCAGAAGGGCAAGTAGCATTGGGGGGGGGAGCAGGAAATGGCCTAAGGTGAGAGGGAGGCAGCCTCCAGGGCACCGGTCAAGTCAGCGTAGCAAGGCCCAAGACCTCTGCTTTGGACTCCCAGCCCTGGGAGCAGCAAATGCCACGACTCCAGGGCGCTCACAGTGTGGCAGTGTTGCTCTTTAGAGGGTGGTAGCGATCCTGCCCCCACCTGCCATGGGGAAGGCCACGTTCAGAGCCCCTGGATCCCTGGCAGGCAGGCAGTCAACACACGTGGCTGGTTGGCAGGTGGATGTGTCCAGTAAAAGTTGAAACATGCACAGTGGAGCAGCATGAAGCACCTTGAAAGACACCTTGCACTGCATTCTGCAAGCCAGAATATGCTTTGATTCTCAGCAGCATTTCAGAACACATCTATACCAAACATAGGCCACTCCTCGCACCTTGGTGTCTTAGTCATAACTCCCACATTGTGATTTTCTTCCCTCTTCTGATATGAGCTGCCTCTGTTCTCTTGAGAAAGGGAATAATGAATAAGTGGCATTCCTTCTAGAAATTGCCGGCCTCATAAAAGGCTTGTTTCCCCACTCCCTCTGCACAAAGAGCAAGTGGCTGAGCTGTTTTGAGAAGGGGAAACTGCAGGAAATAATTTCTCCAAATATTGATTTTTTCCCCCTTTTCTTTTAATGTTCCTTTACATCTCAATCATTTCATAGAAGGGAGACCAGGGAGTGCTGTTCTAAGGTTCACAGTCCTCCCTCGGATGCATTATGAAGGTTAAACATGTGGTTTCCTGACAGTCGGTTGGCAAGTGTGGGTATCTTTGTCAGTGTTCATGGGAGATGGCTTTCAGGAAAAGGTTCTGCTTGTTCTTAATGTGCTAAAAATGAAGAGCAGCAGCCCTGAGAGCAGGCATGTCTGTTGGATGCCTGGGGAGCCCAAGGTGCGCTTCTGACGGCTGTTGGGTGGGGAGTTGAGAGAAGGTGGGGTTTGCAAATAAGGCAATGGTTGCTTCCCAGAACATCAGCTTCATGCAAGAGGATGAGTCACATGCATATTAATAGGTAGTTCACAGTGAGCTGTAAGGAAATCATTCACTCAAAACTGATGCATACATTGTGAGATTGAAACTAGCTTTCTTGGGTCACCACAGCAGTCTTTTGGATGGAGAACTGTGTTCTGTGTCTCTGCAACCGCAGCTAGAAATGGTTTGGCCTTTTTGGAATGGAATTGAGTGTTTGCCTGGTAATCATGCATTGAGGAAGCAACGTTAAATGGCAAGGAGATTGCATAGGAGATTCTGAAGGCATACTTCTTTTTCTTGCTAAGGTGCATTTGTGTTAAATAGCTCAGAGGGGCATTTAGGTCCTAGCCAGCCCCCATACCTATTTAGCCTCAGAGGTGAGAGCAGATTGGATACTTGAAAACATTTTCTTACTGCCTTCAGGTTTGGTTGCCTTACCATTTTAAATAAATAAATAAATAAATGCATATGGCACCAAATGATGCTGGCATATAATTAATCCCGCTTCAATTAAGAGTGCAGGGGAGGATCGTCTCGCCTGCTGGAGTTAGGGGGACACACCTCATTTTCTGGATTTTGGGCAGTACCTTCCTCTTTCAACCTGTTTTATAGCTTTTCTTTTAGTCATGGCGACCTCTTTGTATCCATGAAGTGGCTTGCACTGGAGGCCAACATTCAGAAAATATGGGGTGGTGTGTTAGTCCCTTGATCCCTGAGCATTCTGGGAAGCAGGGCGACATGTGGCCTTTCAAACAAAATGAGCTGATTATTCTGGCTTTTATGTTGCTTTTACACAGAGTGCAGACAAAATCGGGTCCCTGCCTTTGAGAGAACGTTGGGAAGACGGAGTCTGGGAACACACGGAGGCCCATCCGTCCCAGCAACCAGTAACTGTTAGGGTTGATCTGTCTCTGAGCATGGGTGAAATTTCTGGGGAAACCGTGTGTAAACAATGTTTGTATTTCTCGTAGCGCTGATGCCGTGATCACCTGTCACACCGTTCAGGAGATGGATTGCTGTCACTGATGGGAAGGAGTCCAATATGAGTGGATATGACGTTGGGGGAAGAAGACGCTTTGAGGACAGTGAGCACACCCTCCACATCTACCCCGGGAGCGTTGCGGAAGGGACCATCTACTGCCCGGTGGTGGCGCGAAAGACCTCCACGGCGGCCGAGGTGATTGAGTCCCTGATCGACAGACTCCAGCTGGACAAAGCAAAATGCTACGTCTTGGCCGAAGTGAAGGAGTTTGGAGGGGAGGAGTGGATTCTCAACCCCACCGACTGCCCCGTCCAGCGCATGATGCTCTGGCCCCGCATGGCCCTCGAGAACCGCCTGAGCGGGGAGGACTACCGCTTCCTTCTAAGGGAGAAGAACCTCGATGGGTCCATCCATTACGCCAGCCTCCAGTCCTGGCTGCGAGTGACCGAGGAGCGACGCAGGATGATGGAACGGGGCTTCCTGCCCCAACCCCAGTGCAAGGACTACGACGACCTGTGTGCCCTGCCCGACTTGAACGAGAGGACCCTCTTGGAGAACCTTCGGAACCGCTTCAAGCAGGAAAAGATTTATACGTACGTTGGGAGCATCCTCATCGTCATTAACCCGTTCAAATTCCTTCCCATTTACAACCCCAAGTACGTCAAAATGTATGACAATCACCAGCTGGGGAAGCTGGAGCCCCACATTTATGCTGTGGCCGATGTCGCGTATCATGCCATGCTTCTGCGTCGGAAGAATCAGTGCATTGTCATCTCTGGAGAAAGCGGGTCTGGGAAAACACAGAGTACAAATTTCTTGATCCATCACCTCACTGCCCTCAGCCAGAAAGGATTTGCAAGCGGAGTAGAACAAATCATTCTTGGAGCGGGACCAGTGCTGGAGGTAAGTGGAAAGTCACGCTCTGGTTGTTTGGCGATGCCGTTTTTCTTCCTCTGCAAGCAATCAGGCCGTGGCATCCTGTGATTACCCTTTGGCTGGCGGCCAGTGGTGCTGCTGTGCAGGCTGTTCACTGGGGGTAAAGAAATGGCGCGTGGGAGCCGCTCCCGTTGGGGTTTGAGCAGGAATTGGCAGTCCTGCATGATCCTGTTTGCAAATCTGGTGTCTTTGTGAGCTTTTGTGTGGTTTTTTGGGTCCTTGCGGCGGATCTTGCAGCCATGTAACATTTTCCATATGTGGCTCTTGATGACAGCCATGGCATTGCCGTAGTGGCAGGCTGGGCACATCGCCCGAGGTGGACGGGCTTGCCGTTCCCAGCGTCCCTCTCTCCACCGGCTGTGCTGGCCAGGGCAGATTCAAGCACTGGTCCGGCAACAGCTGGAGAACACAAGTAGCAGCTCCGTTCTGCTGCTGCTGCCGTGGAGAATTTAGTGTGCGAATTGGCCCTGAATTGTTGTGAGTTGCAGGCATCTTTCAAAGTAAGAATATTAGATTTGAATTTGTATTTAAACGTTGTATTTATTTCCAAATGTTGCTGTTGCCTCATTACTGTAAGCAACAATAAACGTTCTTAGAGGTCATCAAGTGAAGCTTGATGTGCCACAGTCTGTAGGCGCTTTTATTACTGTAATCAGGGTTGTGGTTCACTTTGTTTCATTTGAAGGAAAACTTTGCCAGGTGGTGGAGGAGAGGGGTAAGGAATACTTTCCTCCTTCAGCTCAGAGTTGACTTTTGAGGGGCTTCCTTCCCCCAGGTTTGAAGGAACTGAATTGAATGTTCTTGGAGAGCTGAAAGCCATGGGAACCACCATCTATTCTAGGGGATTCTTAGTGAAACTGTTGCATTTTATGAATGTTACAAAGTTTCTGGGGTCTCTTCGAAGCCCAGGTTAACCAAGCAGCAAAATGTTACGTTATCCCCCCAAATGCCCTGTTGATTGCGCTTAACTGTCCTGGCAGCTCCTTCCACTAGAGTTTTTCCATGGGATGTTTTTTCGGTGGTTCTAGCAGTGGCTGTCAAAAGGTCTCCTCCCCAATAATCCTCCTGATCTGATTTTTGAGCAGGAGGAAACCCAGGAATTGCTGCTTGTTAGTGATAGCCTTAAACCCTGGTGTTTGGTTTAAAACAGCCTGTTCTAATTCCAGTGCAGTGCTGGCTTGTAGACCATTTCATAGTTCTTCTATAAAATCCGTGCAGTCCCTTGTGATGTAGATACATTTGGGGTGTGGAGAGGATGTTGCTGTAGACTTGACTGGCTAATCAGAGAGGAAGCATTAATGCATTGCAAAGATTGCATAATACTGCTATGTGGGTTTTATGCAGAGTGTTCCTGGGTATGCAGTGTGTCCGGTTCATTATAAATCCTAACTCTGTGATCTAAGGGGATAACCTTGCTTAACCAGATAGAGGTGCAGGTTTTATCACAAAATGCTTTCTTTTGTCTCAGGTGGAAGTGGGTCCTGGTTGCCTGCTTTACCCGTCTTGCCAGGTTCAAGCTCAGGCAAGACTGGAGATGGTTTCCTTGATTTTGAACGTGTTCTGAGTATCAGTGTTGAGTCTGTTTTGACATGATTCCATGCCTCTCCCCTCAACCTCAGCGTTGCTCTAGAGAAATAAATGCCTTTTAGATTTGGTAACAAAGGGAAGGCAAGTTATACTGTAATTTAGTTTTGCTCCCTTTCCTTGAAGAGCTCCTTCGGATGTCTAAGGAGTCAGAAGACTCGCCCATGTGACAATTGTGGTATGCCCTGGCACTGTTTCTTTTTCAGATAAATTTTGGATCAATGCAAATACACAGTTGGTGATTTCCCAAGCTAATTTCGAATAGATTTTTAAATAGGCAGGCACTTTCCAGCTCCCCTTGTCCACCCCACTCCACCCCCCAGGGCTGGGAATATATTTTCATTGATTGCTGCTTATAAACCCATAAGGAACATTGTGCCGCCACAGGAGTACAGTATTCATTGGAGAAATTTCCAAGACCTGATTTAAATCTTGGAAATGATCTAGTGGCCTGGGTTTTTTGTAAGAGATTTTTTAAAATGAGGATTTGGAAGCAGAATGATTCCTCTGGCCTCTGTGTTTCCTTCTCCTTCTGTCACAACTGAGGGGGAACTTCCTATTTCGCCCTTTCCATCACCGCCCCGGCTCTTCCCCCTCCCACCAACAGGTTCCTGTTTGTGTCAGCTGTTTTCCTGCCCAACCCCAGTTGCTCCATCATCTTTCCCTTGCCGAGCCTCTTGCTGCTGACCGACCGCCCCTCCCTTCCAGCCTTCCCTTCCGCCGGGGTCCCTTCGCCATCCCCATCCCCAGCCAGCTGCTGGCTTTCTTGTGAAGACTTGCCTTGCCGACCTCCTCCTCCTCCTCTCTCCAGCCTGACAATGAGCTCACTCTTGGTGGGGCTTCCCCTTGCTGTCACTCCAAATCCAGCTGTTCTGCTTCTGGGCCGGCTTGCTTGGCAGCACTGGAGCCTTTTCTGTTTGCCTTAGGGATTCAGGGAATCCTTTAGGCCGTCGAAATGAAGGCGAAAGTGGCGGGTCTGGTGGGGAACATCTGTTTCTGTCAGTTCCAGCTATTAATGGAGAAGCAATGGACTTCCTCCAATACTCTTGTATATTTAGATTGATTAAACCAAGTGTCAAAAAGAGGAAGAAAACCCTCATTCATTCTTGGGCAAAACAATGTGCCTCCAGTAAGCAGTCACTGTGACAACTGCCATTTGCAGTCTGCGGAAGACAATAAGCCCCTTTTGCGGAGGCGCGCTCTTTCTCCGCCTGAATCACTGGAAGTAGCATAGGAAATTCCCTGAGCTGCACACATTTGGTGACAGAGCAAAACACTCATCCCACTCATCCAGAATTCTTAGAATTTCAAGGGAGGCTTGAACTCTTCTTTCCGGCCAAGGGGCCACAGCTGTAGCCTCAAGAGTGGGGCTTTAAGGGCATCTTCAGATGCTGTTCTTTCAGGTCAGAAAATATGCTTTAAATTTAACATTGTGTCCTACACAGCACTCATTTGAGGGGCCATAGCGGCTGATGGAACCAATAGCATAATCCACTAACAGAAACAACAAGCCAAAGAGCCAAAAGCAAGGGCTCTTCTAAGACATTCTAATACGGGAAGGTGAAAATTGACTGGAAAACCCTGAAGACCCAGGAGAAGGCTTCACGTGGAACTTAGCATAACGGCCGCAGAAATGGATGTTGGGCGCTAAGAGAGGGGAGCCAAGTGAGTTAATGTCCTCTGTAGTCTGACAAACCATGATTATGGAGAGGGGCAACCCTTTAGGTTCAATTGGGTGCACTTTCCATAAGCCTTTGCCAGCATTGCCAAGGGTTGTTCTTTGGCGACGCAGAGCCCCCCCCCCAAATCCTCTGCTGTCTAAAAAGCCTCTGGCAGTAGCAGGGCCTTGTCTTTGAAGCTTGGCTGGCACTGAAAGCCCCTGGCTGGGCGGTAGGTGTTTCGTTTGGGGCAAAAGGTAGAACAGAGAGCCAAGCTTGTTATCACCCTTTCCAAGGAGCTCGAAGAAGGAAAGAGAGAGGAAAGATGTCGTCTCGGTAGATATGCTGGACGCCGTTGGCGTAGACGTTGCAAAGGGTCGAGTGCCAGAACTTTGAACCAGCCAGTGCAGGAGGGTTCACACTGGTTTGTTAGACGGCACGTTGGTGCTGGACTGGATTTAACCCATGCCTGGTTTAGTTGCCAGACAGAGTGCCAATTCATGGCGGTTTCAAGCCTGGCCGTGCAAACAGATGTGTCCTGGCTTTAGCCCAAAGGAGGAACTGAGGGTGAATTCAGATGGGATTTCCTCCTTTTAACAGAAAGCGGCGGCGGGGGGGGGGGACAAACAAAGTCTGCTCCCGCCTGAATCCCAGCTGTTTAGTACTCAAGGAAGCTCCGCCCCCTGACTTGTTGGCGCCAAACCGTCACCCCTTGCAGTGTTGTGAGGACTAGCTTGCAGGAGGGCCAGCCAGACCCCCTGCCCCTGCCAGTCCAGCACTGCCCCCCCACTTACCCTTGGCAGGACCCTCTTCCTTTTTTCTCTTTTTGTTCCGTTTTCTGCCATGGAGATGACCAGGGTGCTAAATAGGTTTTCTTTTCCTCTTCTGTACCTGGCATTGCCTGGCACCTTCCTAGAGCTGAGCAGTAACAGAACAGAGTGCAGCTGATGTGAGGTCAGTTGCTTTCTTTCCAGATGTTCCTTTCACGAAGGAGGGGGCGTGAGAGAGTCAGTAGGATCACTGGATTCAGAAGCCTCTTCCACCCCCCCATCCCCCCGCCAAGGAGGAGCAAAGCTTAGCGCCTAAGGAACAGACATGTAAGGCAGAATGAGGACATTAGCAGTGTTGCGGGGAGTTGTGTGCCATCCGGTGACAAGGACGGCATGTGTGTCCCTCTTCCCTCTCCCACCCTGACCACGCAAGCCAGCTGGGCTGAGGGAAGAGGCAAGGTCCTTCCTGCCCGTGGTTCTTCCCCGTGGGGTGGCCCTCTCTCTGTTTCTCACCGATTCTTTCTGCCTTCTTTTGACAGGCCTTTGGGAATGCAAAGACAGCACACAATAACAATTCCAGCCGCTTTGGCAAGTTTATCCAAGTGAACTATCAGGAGACGGGCACCGTCCGTGGGTAAGTGGCCGGGAGACCTTGCGGTCGGGCTCTGAGCCTGGGCTGCCCGCACCTGTTTGGATGTCTCCATGAACGATGGGAATGCTGAGCGTCCCCTGCAGCTCAGGGGGGGGGGGCTTTCTTGCTCAGAAAGAGGTGGTGGGCCCGCCAGGGAGGGCAAAGGGTGGGCCAGCTGTCGGGACCCTCCGCGAGGGGGGGCATATGGACTTCCCAGGTGCTTCTCACCACAACAGCTTTTTGCTTATTCACAAAGAGATAGGAAAGACAAAACTCTGGAATGAGCGCCCTTTATAATTGGTGGCATAAGATATTGTTCAGCAAAGTCCATTGCAATCACGGTGGCGCTCGCACCAGTTTACTTTGGACAATACTTCAAGTGCAGGTTAAAGCTTACCTTCCTTTAAGGAAAGATACGGGGGCAGCAGAAGGGATTTGAGAGATTAAGCCATGCCAGCAGTTTTAAATGAGGGCAAGAAGGCCAGCGCCCTCGTGCAGAGCCACACAATGCAGCACGTACCTCTGCTCTTTATCCCAGCAGACGCTGCTTGTGTGCAGGTCCTGTGGCCGAGCAACAGTTTTAGGACTGTAAAACTCCCTTCGGTTCTTGCCAGCAGGGGGGAAAGGTCAGGGATGATGGGCATTGTGGTCTGGTCACACATTTAGATAGTGTGCCTTTTGATGGCCCCCCTCTCTCTCTCACTCTCTTTTATCTCCATCTTCAGGCTTTTGAGCGTATGTAGGCCTTAAATAACATGACACTAAGACAGACTTGTTGGGGGGGGGAAAGGGGTAAGGAGAAGATTCACACCCTCTCCACATCTCCTGCTTTGTGTGTGCTGGTATCTCTTGCCCCTTGTTAGGCCTGAAATATATAATATAATATAATAGTTCTCCCAACAACCATGAGGTGTGAAGCTAACCTTCTCTTTTCCTCTAGAGCATATGTAGAAAAATATCTTCTTGAAAAGTCCAGACTAGTTTATCAAGAACATAATGAGAGGTGAGTAATGAATGAATGAAATAACATGTATAAATGAGTTGGGAGAATAACGGAGTGTTACAATACAGTGGTTTTGCTGGAGGGGGGTGTTCCTGGGCTTTGAAGGAGATGAGGTTCAATAGCCACGGTTAGCATGGGCAGCTTTTCCTGCCCTGCTCAGCGGAGGTCCGCCTGGCTGGAAGCCTGTCTCTTTTGGCAGATCCCAGCGCACCCGAATAGTTTCCTCCTACGAGCAGCAGCAGCAGCAGCAGGGAGTACTTTTGAGGTGGGATGGCTGAAGGCGGAGCTCCAGGGTCCCCCAGCAAGGGATTCCAGTTAGGGAAGGCAGCTTGCTCACCCCATCTGTGGCGTCTCCTGCTCACCCACAACCCTGCAGGGCGTGCCAGGGAGCCAAGCGGGATCTCGTAAGGAAGCTCAGGTTTTTAGGAGTCTTGGTGATGCCACTGGCTTTTTTAAACACCATTTTTATTTGTTCTCAGGAACTACCATGTGTTTTATTACCTGCTGGCAGGAGCAACTGAGGAAGAAAAAGCAGCATTTCACCTTAAACAGCCTGATGAATATCATTATCTTAACCAGGTGGGAATGTACTGGCAGCTTTGTAATGGGCGTATATGCTTGTCTTTGGAGCAACGGGCTCTCCTTTCCTAAGGGGGCTGTTTAAAACCAATCATACTGTCATCTCCTCAAGGATTTCATGAGACCATAAATTCTTTGTTACAGATAATACGACTAAGGAAGAGACAATGTTTTCAAAGCATTCCTTTCCTTTCCTTTCCTTTCCTTTCCTTTCCTTTCCTTTCCTTTCCTTTCCTTTCCTTCCTTCCTTCCTTCCTTCCTTCCTTTCTTTCTTTCTTTCTTTCTTTCTTTCTTTCTTTCTTTCTTTCTTTCTTTCTTTCTTTCTTTCTTTCTTTCTTTCTTTCTTTCTTTCTTTCTTTCTTTCTTTCTTTCTTTCTTTCTTTCCCTGCTTTAAATGAGTTGGAAGAATGGAAATGTGTTTGAGGGGTTTGCTGTTTTCCTAAAGAACACAAATTGTTTTACAGTCACATTAAGTATTAATCACTAATACCTGTCTGCTGGGAAATCCTGCTTGATATTTTCACCCAAGATCAGAGGGGTCTGATCAGAAAAGTTGCATGGCTTTGCAATTCTGCCTGGTAGCATAATGGTTTTCTCCTTTAACAAATAACTAAATCAGCTCTGGTTGTGTCTGTGTAATTAAATCTATTTGGCATTGGAAATACGGCATGCCATACTAATACTTCATAGTTTTTGCATAACTCCAATATGTCATGCATTCTCTTGGGGAGGGGTTGTAGGGTTGGTACCTGATGCAAGAGGACCTGCAATGGGGGGGGGAGTTTGGTGCCAGCAATAAAGGCACACACACACACACCTCCTCCTCCTCCTCCATTTGAGAGCAGCACATTGTGACATGTGCTCCCTCCTCCCCAGAACTGGCATTTAATTCTGCAGTTTGCATGAGGGACTGCTGGGGTGAATTGGTTCCAAGCAACCAGCCAGCTGGCCGGCCACCATGGCTTGTAGCAAAGGGGCAGCTCAAGGCAGCCAGTGTACTTGCAGGGAACTGGGCTGAATCCCCTGGCAGGGGGCAGCTTGTCCAGGTACTCAAGAAAGAAGCCGAGAGTCTTCTTGGTTTCTTTCTCTAGCTTCTCGTGAAGAGCTAACAGAGTGGGTGGGGCACTGCCGACCGATGGTCCACCCTTGTGCCTCCTGGCCCATTGTTGGACCCGAATGTGTGGAGCCTGAATCCACTGATGGGACGCCACCTGCTCCTCTGTTGAGCCGCCAGGTAGACAGGCTCCCCTTGTAACACGCCCGAGTCGCCAGGTGCTGCGTGTGCCTTCTCACAAGGCCAAGAGGAGGAACGATGGAGGAGGAGAGGAGTCCAGACCCGGGCGATGCCCTGCCTCCCGTTTGCAGAAAGGAAGACCGGCTTTTAGGAAGCCGGTGGGAGGAGAGAGTGGCGTGGGGCGTGAAGCGTGACTTACCCAATCTGCCTTGCTTTCAGATGACAAAGAAACCCCCCCAACAGAGCTGGGAGGACTCTTACAATGACTCTGAGCCGGTCAGTACAAGCACCTCCATCCGTCTTGGGTTGCCGGTGAGAGGCGGGCATTCCACTTTTCGGCAGGCAGCGGGTGGCTCGGAAATGCCAAGCCCGGGGAAAGCCACGGGGTGCAGAGGCGGTGGTGCTCTATCCTCCATGGGCGAGCTTTCTTTTCTAGTCAGCATTTTCCACTTGAGGCAGTGATAGGACCTGAAGGACTTAAACTTTGCCCAAAGAGACTGGCCGAGTTCAGGCAACGTGAGGAGCTGGAATTCAAGGCAGAGACAGGCCGAAGGGAGGAGGCCTACAGGCACGAGAGCAGGCTCTCGCTGGCTTCTCATCAGGACGCCAGAGGTTTCTTATATTGTGGCTGGCCAGGGGTGGGGGGACCCAAGAGCAGGCTGGGGCATCCTCCTGTGGCAGGAGTGGAGCGAGGAAGCACAAGCCTCAGGCCCTGGTCCGTTGGTCCCTCGGTGCCTGGCCTGGGAATCTGGCAGGAGCCAGCCGGCTGGCTGGGTGATTTCCCGCCGGGCAAACCAGAGAATCAAGCCAACGTTGCTTTTAGGGTCTTAATGTTCTTGTTTGTCAGGAGGAAAGCAAGGCGGGGTGGGGGTGGGGGGCAATTCCCCGCCAGGTTCACACATCACAATGAACAAACCACGGAAGGTCCACCCTTTGTTTAGCTGCTGCTGCTGCTGTCGGTGGGTGGACTCCGACACAAGCAAGCTGCTTTCCCAAGGCAAGACTGGGTTCCCAGGGACTTAATGCAGCCTGTTCTGTTGAAAGGGTTGCTCGGAAGGCCTGTAGAGTCATCGTTTTTTTTTTTTAAATAAAGCACAGCACCAGGATAGTCAAGGAGAGCTTCTAAAGACCTTTTTGCTCTAGGGAAGGGGGTAGATTTGAACTCAGGCTCGGTAACAATGCCATCCAAAGGGAAACAATTTGCCAACTCCTTTTAAAATTGTTTAAAAAAGAAACTGATGCAATTTTTCTTGTGTGAAGGCTTGTGGTTAGATCTAAGCTTTGTCTTTTTAAATATCTTCTCATTGTGCCATTTTTATTTTATTTCAGAAAGCATGACCACTCTAACTGCATGTTAACAATTCTAACTTGGATTTATTATTGCCCCTTAATATAATGCCTCAGAAGTTATTTGGTTCCAAAGAAAATGTCCACAAATTAGATGCAGACGTTCAGTTTTAAAGCTTTACTTGATTTTGATTATGAGTCTCGTTGCCTTTTTTTAAAACTTTGAGTGCCCAATAATTTAGTATTGCAGTAAACATGTTGAACACGAAGTTTTAGTCAGCTTGTCTGTGAGATTGACTCAGACTTTGCTGCAGGAGATTGTGGAGGCAGCACCCCCTATATTTGTTGTCTTCGCTTGGCGGAGGCCGTCCTGAAGGCTGCGCTCTGGTCCCCCCACGTGCTGCGCGGGAGGTTTTGTCCTTGGGCCGTGGAGACCTTGTGTCACTTCTCTCTTTTTTTGTCCTTGCAAACTGGATGGCATTTTTAGAACCCTCTGAGATTGGGACGGCTGCGCGGTGCCCCTGGGTGTTAATGCCTCTGCCCGCCGCCCCCCCCTCTACATGGTGGCTCCACGAAGGGCCGTTTCAGGGCCGGCCTGCTCTTCCTCCCACCAGCCAGCCCGCTTTCTCTGCTGACCCATGCCGCGCCTCTCTGCCTTGCTTCGCCCCCAGGCATGGTGGGTCCGGAGTGGGCCTTCCACCTTTCACAGGGTCTTTCTCTCTCATCACCCTCTGGTGCTGGAGAGCAGTTTCGTTCCGTCTCCGAGGCATGGCGGCCTTCTTTTCTTCTATCTCTGAGCCTTTGCCTCTGATCCCTTTTCTTGCTGTGTAAAGAGGAGGCAACCCGATGTTGGAGCTCTGGGGAGCTTTTGAGACCTCACACTGTATTTTGGGTGGGGAGAAAAAATGACATTATACATCTGGACTTAAGTGCATTGGCACATCAAACACTCACACCCTTTTTAAATCTGAAGAATCACAATCTATCTATCAATGTTCTTTTTGTAGGATTTATGAATACTAAATGTGACAATTTTAAAATGTTATCTTAATCCCTATTATGAGAATGAGGATGTTTGTTTGGGTTTACTTGTGCTGAGAAAATGTACTTAAATGTGATATTTATAAACATTACAGAGGACAAGGTAATGTTGACCAACTTCTTCAGCTATGAGAACAGAATATTCACATTGTGTTTTGCCAAAGAGAGGACAGAAAAAGTCTTGAAGTAATTTTCCATCACTGCTAAAATCCACTAAAATCAGTTTCTTCATCTTCAGGAGAAATGCAATCTGGCAGATGATTTTTTTTTTATTTAAAAAGAACGTATTTCGCTCTTTATTCGGTGCACTCTTTCAGAATTTCAAGAAAGAAAAAGTTCTAGTGATTTAATGCAGGAAAAAAGTTGATTTTATTAAGATTACATTCCAAATTACATTGGCCAACATAGAAAGGGCTGAGATATATTCAGCCTCCCTGTGTTAACAGAGAGACGAGCAAAAGCCTGCAGAGTGTCTGCATGACCTCCAAGCTGGTAACAGGCAGTGGAAAGGGGAAGACCTTCTGCTCAAGCCTCTGTGAGGAGGGCTTGAATTGCTCAGTCTGAAAACGGCACTGTATGGCAGAGGGCTGCCCCTTCGCTAATTGCTCCTGCTTTTTCACCTCCATAGGACTGCTTCTCAGTTGAAGGGGAAGACTTGAAGCATGACTTTGAGCGCTTACAGTTAGCTATGGAAATGGTCGGCTTTCTCCCCAAAACACGCAGACAGTAAGTTGGCATGCTTTTGTTATGATCAGGGGTTGCCGGATAGTATCGTGTTCTGAACTCATCTTGCAAACGCTCCTGCATGGCTATTTGGTTGTGGCCCACGATGTAGCTTTCCAGCAGTCTCTATAAAAAAAAGTTTTGCATTCTCTTGCAGTTAAGAGTTGCTGTCAAGACACAGGCTGTTCACAAGAATGTCTCAGCAACAAAATTCCATGGGAGAAATTACGGACTGCTTTTGTTGTACTAAAATTAGGGAAGTATATTAGAATGGATTTCCTGGCACTGTCCAAGTGCTTCTAACCAGAGCAACATCCGTTCAGTGTTTTCTGGCCTTGTTTAATGACAGGTTCTCTGCAATTCAGACATTATTTAGACTTAATTAGGTGGCTTACTAAAATATTAATTGCATATGTCACAAAAAATATTTGGGGCAGGTGTGTGTAATATTCGCAGTTGTTTTTCATGTCATTGTTGCCTTTTAGAAGCTATTTGATAAAGAGCTTACATTAAAGATGTAGGAATCTTAATATCAAAACTGACTGGAAAAGCTGGAGCACAAACACATGATATTTCTTTAATCTGAGGGTGACCAATAATGCGCACCACGAATAAGGTCTTTGCCAACTTGGTGACTTTCAGCCGTTTGCCCTCCCGCCTCCCCCCCCACAAAGTTGTGCCCTTTGTGCTCGGCTGACATCAAGTAACAGGAGGGGGGTGGCCCAGAAGTGTGAAAGCATCATGGATCCTCCTCTGTGGTGGTTTTTCCGTTTCCTTCCTAAGCAAACGATGACAGTGAACCCGGTGTTGTTTGATGTCCCCAGGATTTTTTCTCTTCTGTCGGCCATCCTTCACTTGGGCAACATCTGCTACAAAAAGAAGACCTATCGGGACGACTCCATAGATATCTGCAACCCGGACGTCCTGCCCGTGGTCTCCGAACTCCTGGAGGTGAGCCGTGGGGCTCGGGCGGAGCCTGCCCGCCTCTTCTTCTTTGGGAGCGCAAACGTCTTCGAGGCGTCACTCGTGAGAGAGAGGCCCTCGGGTTGGCTCTCCATCTGCTCCTTTATTGAGCAGGTTCTCCCTGCTGGTCGTGGACCCCCGATGGGGTTCAGGGTGACTGGGGGCCAGGCCACCCGCAGCCCGTGTCCCTTCGAGTCCCTGCAACCAACCGAGGGCCGAGGAGCTCCTTCAGTTCACTTCCAAGCAGCAACATTGGACAGGAACAGATGTAGCCGAGGGAAGAGTTCGAGTTTTGTTAGCTGCCAGTTAAGAAACTGGCACTTCTACCCTGTATCACATGCCAACCGACATATAAGGAGAGGCCCAAGTGCTGACTCGTCAACTTTAGTGGCTGTCACTCTGGCCACCAGAAAACCTGTGGGCTGCTTTGCGTGGCCACTGCTGAGGGAAGGCCCGAGTAGCCACTAGAATGGGAAATGGGCGGGCCCTTGTGAAGCGTGCCGTCTGTGGCACGACCGTTCCTGCGAAGTGGGGTCCAAGGCCTCAGGGTCCGACATTTGTGTGCTTTTACACAATGGTCTCGAGGCCCTGCTGGTATCTTTTGGCCCTGAGGGACTCCTGCCAAAGCCAAGCTGCCGTAAGAGGATGGAAGATGGCCGCCATCCCCATTTGTGTGTGTGTGTGTGGGGGATATTGTTGATTGGTGCTTGAATGCCCCAAGTCATGACCGTGTATTTTCTTCTTAAATTGTGGCTAACGGTGGGATGGTTGGGCCTCCTTTGTTAGGTGAAAGAAGAAATGCTGTTTGAAGCCCTAGTGACCAGGAAGACGGTGACTGTCGGGGAGAGGCTGGTCTTGCCTTACAAACTAGCCGAGGTAGGTGTGGCAAAAGGCTCTCGCCTCGGGGAGGTTCCCGAACGGTAGGACCGGGCCGGGGAGTCCCCTCTCTGGCCCCCTCGGCCAGGGCCCAGTCCTTTGGGGAGTCCACGGTTTTGATTCTCCCGCCTGTTCTTCTGTTCCGAAGAGCAGCCGGGCCTGTTCTTTGGCAGAGGAGGTGCGGCGCAGCATTCGGGAGGCCTGCGGGAGGTTCCTCCACCAGGAGAGCCCCCTCTGCTTCCCTGGCTCTCTCGTTTACCTGTCTCACCTCCCCGGGTTAGTTTGTGTTCTGTGCCCAAGGGGCCTGCTCCGCCTTTGCCGGGTTGTTTACACGCACACAGGGAATCTCTTGTGCACACTAAAGAAGAAGGTTTTGCGAGAGACCGTTTGCAGGGAGCAAGGCTCCAGGAAGAGAGACTTGAGACCGAGAAAGTGATTTTGAACACGTTCTCCAGGAGGAGGCAGACGGTTTGATTTCTGTTTCCTTTGCTCAGAGCTTGACCAGCACATGCAAGACACGACATCAGGAAAGGAGGAGACATGAAGGAGCGCCGGGCGGGGGGGATGGGGGAGAAGAGGAAAAAGCAGTAGGGCAACCATCTGCTGTTGCTCCCTTCTGAGCAGATATACTTTCTCTGTGCTATAGGTTTAAATGCTCACAATTTAACGCTCTAAGGCCCCGATGTCGGATTGAAGCTGATTCTCATTACTTTATTGATTCTTAAAAAATAAAAAAGTCAGGGACAGGTTTTGTTTCTGAGAGCTGCAGTACAGAGATATGAAAAACCCTAAACCTCTTATGAGGGCTGGCAAAGCAACATTAGGAATTTCTTCCCTTAGCCCCGGTAATCATTCTTTGGACATTGCATTCTCTTCCAGTCTAGTTTAGTTTAGTTTTAAGTATCGCGTGATGTCTTTGTGCGGTTTTGTGGGCTTGGAAGTATTACCTGAGGGAGAGCAATTTGTTCTAAATCCAGGGATTCCAAATGTGGGACTTGCTCCCCCAGGGAAAGGGCCGGCAATAAATAACTAGAGAAGTAGCTGAGTCACTTCTGGCAGATGCCGCCCGTCCTAGTTTTCAGGGCCTCTCTTGGGACCCAGTTCCTGCCACAAAGGGGGGCCAGCCTTTTCATTAGCCCAGTGAGGTCCGTGCGGAGGAAAGAGTGGCAGCAGGTACCCCTCCGTGCGAGCCTAACCTGGGGGTTTTAATAGGGGTGCAGTCTTGCTGTTTGATGGGGCGAGAAGCAGGTGGCCCACATGTGTGGGAGCCACTCACTTCTCCGCCTCCCTAAAGCCCCCCCACCAAGAGTCGTCGGCTGCCACTCCCTCTTTGGAAGGACTGCCAAGGAGCTCCACAAGGTTTTTCTTTAAAAGAGTATTTTTGGCCTGTAGCATGCCGCGCATACTCCTTGCACAGCAGCGCTTCATGTGTAGAGAATCATCCTAGAAGCATGGATGTGTGTGTAAAGGCATATTTGGGTGGGGGGAAGGTACATAGATGGTCCACCCTTGGTCCTCAAGGGGGCTTCCAGGAGGGGGAAAAGGCTGCCTTTTCATCCTGTGGTGTCCAAATTCAGTAGCAAATCTGGCAGCACCAAAATGCCCTTCCCCACCGGCCGAGGGTGGCAGGAACTGGCCCGAGGGACCACACAGGTGGCTCGTCCCTGTGGTGGTTTTGCCTGCTCAGGAGCCCATGTTGAAGAATTTGATTTATCATTATGTACTTTCTCTATTCAAGCTGCTTAAAAGAATGTTACGCTAAGGGAGGATTTACATACAGACGCACACACCTCTCAGCAGGTTTCAAAGTATTATTTGCTTTAGCATTCAAAACGTAGTTAATGTATTAGGTGACAAAAGAAACCAGGATGTTGCCAGTAAAAGAACTTCCGTTCTTCCTGCAGATTAAGACGTAGGGCATGTAACTAATAATTTTGCTGGAAAAGCCAGTGTGGTCTAATCGACAACATTGGGCCAGGAGTGAGAGCCTTGGGTTCAGATGCGCGCTCAGCCTCGATGCTGACGGGACTCTTTGAACCCTCCAGACTCACAGAGTCCACCCTCCCTGGGCTTTTGTGACTGGCGCTAGGAGAGCAGCACTTGCGCTGCGTTGGTGGAAGAAGAGGAGGCCAGGCGTGGAAGTGTCTCCTCCAAATAGTGACCACCTCCTCTTGTCAGAAAGATAAACTAAATGCAGTGGATTTCTGGGTTGATTTCTAATGATCGTGCTTGATGTTCCAGGCTGTCACGGTGCGGGATTCCATGGCTAAATCCTTGTACAGCGCCCTGTTCGACTGGATTGTTTTTAGAATTAACCACGCACTTTTGAACACCAAGGACTTGGAGGAAAGCACCAAGGTAACCCCCCCCCCGGCCAAAGGACGGGGTTTGTGTGGAGAGCTTGGGAGAGGGAGAGAAATGTTGCCCGTTTGGGCTTTAGGAGAATGGCGGAAGAAAAGGGACATGGTTTTTGGGTCCCTGCAAGCTTTTGTCTCCGGGGAAACAAACAAACAAAGGGCCGACCCTGTTGCTTCCTGTCAGAGCTGTTCAGAAAACCTGGCTTTTGGAGTGGTTCAGGGAGCTTTTGAGCCGTGACGCCCTGTGGGGCAAAGCTCCCCCCCCCACCTCTCCCCACTCCTGCCTTGAAGACTGGCTTCATCTGAAGGAAAGCCATTTCTGAGCCGAAGGCCAGCCTTCAAGCGCAGGCGCTGAGCAAATAGCGTCCGTGTCAGTCCGGACTGGGCCGTAGTCGGTGGCTGGGTGGGGGTGCGTGCACCGTCCTGCCCCTGGCGCTGTGAGCGCCTCACTGGCCAGCCTAGGTTTCGGGGCCCTGCCTGTTGGACTCGGGAGCCTTGGACCCCCTGCTGGGACGAGGGTGGGGAAGGGGAAAGGACTTGGTTCCCTGGCTGGGCCGAGGCCTGTCCTGGCCAAAGCATCTTCCAGCCTGCCTCATCGCCTTCCTTTTGCAGAGCGGAGGGGTGGAATGATGTCGGTCAGTGTCAGCCCCAGTGATTACTGTTTTCTGAGCATGGTTTGGATTAGTGCCGTTTATTCCTGACTTCTGGGTTCATATCTCGGTTGTCCCTAGATTCATGTGAAGATTATAGTCATTGCTTTCAGATGTCATAAGACTGTATGCTTGCTGTGGTTTTTGCTGCCGCTGAATGTTTAGTGCAGAGCCTTCCTCACGACACAGCCCTCCAGCCAAGCAGGGTTATGGGCTTAATGGACCCTAAGCAGGAAGGCAGCTAGAATGGTCAGCACTTAGCAGATTGCAGATAAATCCCAGTCGTTCAGGCTCCGTGTGGGCCATTGTTCCACACTTGGTATGGGACTCACGTATGGAAAGCTGGTGACGTTATCTGCCAAAGGAACCTGCTGTTCATGGAGGAGAAATTGCTTGTGCCCGTGTGTATTTGTATGCAGCGCTGGTGTTGTAAGATCATCTGTTTTTATAACATCACGAAGCATTCAGCGCACACATGCGCACACCCTGATTTTCTCTTTTTAAAAGCTTTAATCTGCAGGGTAAGTCTCTGATGCAAAGCCATCAGTGTGCTGGGTGACTCTCTCCTAATAAGTTGCCATCATCTGGAACTTTAAATACTTGTATGCAGAATTAAGATCTGCATACTGCCAAGCTCCGTTTATTAAATCCCCTGGCAAGTCTAATACATACACATTTCTCTCTCTCTCTCTCTCTCTCTCTCATACACACACACACAGAGAGTATATATGTAGCATAATGTAAAAAACATATATTGTGGGGGGAAAACAGCACATGCCACTGTGTGTAAAACATGTCATGATATATCAAGAAGAAGGAGATCCTTAAATGTAGTTGAATGCCTTCACATGTGAACAAATATATTTCGTTCTGTGTGAAGCTTGTCTAGGCTACACTCTGGTCTTGGAAGGCTGTATTTATTAGTTTTTGGAGACGTAAATGGGTAAGTTTGGCTCTCTGCTTGCATAGAGGAAACCATAAAAGTAAAAATTCCTCATTAACTATTAAGAGATTAACTGGATAGTCTCTAAATAAATCACTCATTAAATAAATCCAAAGAGCCTGGCTTGGCATTAAAACACTCTTTCCAGTACATTGATAAAAATAGCTAAAAGTTTGGCTTCAGAATTTGTGGGTGTGATTCTCACTGGTGCAAATGAAGAGGGTGTTGAAAGCATTCCACCCTCACAGGAGACCCGCCTGTGTGCCTTGCATTGTTTTCAGTGCAAGATTTGCAAGCTTTTGCTCAGGAAGACACCCGGGTGCCTTGGGCTCTGGCACCGCTGGATCCTGCTGCTCCCTCTCGGGTTTGCCCTCACCTTCTGCTCTTTGTGGAGAGCTGAAACGACAGCCAGCGGGGGTTGTTGGCCACTGGCCGCCTCGTAGGGTGGAAGCCGCTCCTGGAGCCACAGCTACCGCCACCAGGCAAACTCTTTGAGCCAGGTGGCGGCAGGCAGTTTTAGATGTGGGGCTAGAAGGGGGACGGGGATGGGGCAGGAGGAGATGCCCAGCCTGCCCCCCCTCCACTTCCTTTCCAATGCCACAGCTCACGTGCCCCCCCCCCAGCCTCCTGAGAGAGCCCTCCTTCGTCGCCCACGACGTCTGTAGGCCACAGCGGTATAAAACGAAGCCTCTGAGCAGCAGGATAGGGCGACTTTGAGAAGGGACTCCTGGTTTTTGTTCTGCAACCCTGCCACACACACACACACACGGGATCTCAGCTGCACAGCTTTGTCAAGCCCGAGAAGGCCAGTCCGCCAGATACCGCCATGTTTTTGCGTTTCCTTGTCTTGCAGACTTTGTCCATTGGAGTCCTTGATATTTTTGGCTTTGAAGATTATGAAAGTAATAGCTTTGAACAATTCTGCATTAACTTTGCAAACGAACGTTTACAGCACTATTTTAACCAACACATCTTTAAGCTGGAGCAAGTAAGTCTGTAAAACGGCAGTTCCTATTTTTGTACGGGCTGCTGGTACCAATGTTGCCCGAGTGGTCCTTCTGCCCCTCGCCTTCGGGCAGATGGCTCTGTTTTCGGGAGGTCGTGGGGGGCTCTGTGGACAGTGAAGTGTCTGGTTGGAGGTTCCAGGAAAACTGCACGCCAGTTCGGGGGACCAGGCCTGCCAGCTGAGAGGCTTAACTTCTCCCTCTCAGCTCACTTCAGGCTATTTCCGGGGCTGCCTTTGTGGGGCCGTTGACAGGTTCCACGTTGCGGTGATCTCAGGAAAGGCCTGGCCCAAGACACTCGGTGGGAGCCCTTTCTCGGCCAAGGCGGGGCTTTCCACGCAGGCTCCGGGGCCCGTTTGCGTTTGGAATGGGGGGTGTGCTCAGAGGCCCCGGGGCGCTCAGCCTAGTGAGATGTGATTGGACTTCCCACGGGGGGGGGGGCTTGTTGTCGGAAAGGCCCGCATAAGGTTCACCGGGTGTGTGTGTGTGACCGCTAATGTGTGGCATGGCTTTTGTCTCCCTGTGACACCCAGGAGGAATACCGACTCGAAGGCATCACCTGGCATAACATAGACTACATCGACAACTCTGGCTGCATAAACCTGATCAGTAAGAAACCAACGGGGCTCCTCCACCTGCTGGACGAGGAGAGCAAGTGAGTGAGGAGAGCCTTCCGCCCTTGGGATATGTGGGCCTGCACTGAATCGGGGTGCCTCCTTTACCAGGAGCGAAAGGTGTTCTCTCACAGCCCCCTTGCCGTGCCCTTTAAAACTCTCGCTTCTGTCAGGCAGGATGATGCCCCTGGCGCCAAGCCTCCCTCAGGCCCATTTTTTAAATGGGGCAGGTGGGGCTGGTGTGAAAAGGTTGCTGCACCCATGATCGGCTGCCCAGGGTAGCCATCATCCTCTGCCTGATGGCGGGGCTGGTCTTGCAAAAGACACCAGCCTTTCCTTTGGCTGCAACCGTTCCAGGGTCAAGGCAGCACAAAGCGGAGTCGTAGGTGAAGGGATATTCTGGGCAGGGCCCAGGGAGGAAGGCTTTGTCAGAAACCAGGCCCGGTGGGTGCAGGGCTGGGGGCCCTCTCCCTGCGCCCCCACCCCCCCCCAGGAGGCAGAGGGCTTGGGAAACTTCAGCTATCCCTGGTTTGCAACCCTGAGGGGGTGCAGTGGTCGTAAGCAGGAAGAGAGCGTGTCGCTGGAAGCTCTCTTAGTCCCAGAGGGAAAGTCCCTGCCTGGAAAGAAGAAGACGGTGCTTAGGGTGCTGTCGGGAATCAGCGCTGCTCGGCTCTCCTGCCTTCTGCCCCATGAATTATGCTCCCAAAGCACCCGAGTCCATGATAAGATAGGAAGGCCCACATTTTCATGCACACCTTGGCAGGCCTTCTGTTACTATAATTGTTTGGGGACTCGGAGAAAGAGGGGGTGTCTGGTCTCCCCTTTGGCCCACACAAGGTTGTCGATGGCCCTTTCCATGGCAGGTCAGCTCAGGTCAGCAGGAGGACATGCATCGCATTTGACATGGGGGTGAAGAGGGTGTGAAGGCTTAGAAATCGGCATCAGAACCCTGAGATCTAGTCCTCAGTGCCTCTGTTTTTCTGTTGATGCAGATACCACTGGCTGAGTGGTCACAAATCACATTTTGACTCTTAGTGTTAACATCTTCAGAAACGAGAGAGAGAGAGAGAGAGAGATCTGAGCTGGGACGTTTCCCTGGAATCAGCTTCTCCTTGTGTGATTAGTGCTTGATCAAAGTCATGTTTACATCCGAAAAGAAAGCTCTCGTATTTTTCCCCTATTGATTTAGTTTCCCACAAGCTACAAATCAAACATTGCTGGACAAGTTCAAGCGTCAGCATGAAGGGAACCTCTACATCGAATTTCCAACTGTCATGGAACCTGCTTTCATCATCAAACACTATGCTGGAAAAGTGAAATATGGCGTGAAGGTCTGTACCGTGTCCGTTGCTACCTATTTCTCTTTAACGGTATGTCTTCCTCCTCCCCTGAGAGTCACGACGACTACGGCAGCAGACGAGGTGGTTCTTCAAGTAGGAACTATTATCTCAGGAGTGGAACAAACGGACTCGAGAGGGGGTGAGTGTGCCAACTCTGGAGGCCTTTGAGAGAAATTTGGACAGCCACCTGACAAATAACCTTTGACTTGTATCCCTGCCATGAGCCCGGGGTCGGACTTGATGGCCTGGTCGGCCCCTTCTGGATTCGCTCTTCTATGATTCTCTGGATCCCCCACGACACGGACATTTCATTCAGTGTGTTGTACATCTTGAACCTGCAGCTTTAAGTGTCTAAGTCTCTTTTCTTCGGCTGGGACACGTGCAGGATATATCCAAGATATATATACCTTTTCTTTATTACTCTCGGTGTAGCTAATCATGATTGGCTGCCCCATGGTTTCCTGTGGGATTTCAGTCCAGTTAAATGGTGTGGTTTCATTTCAGAATACAGGTCTGGTTCTCCCAGCATCGGGGTGGGCCTCTCGAGAGCTGGGGAGATGCCTAAATGTAGAAGACAGGTATCTTGCACCTGAAGAAATGGATTTGGATCCACAAAAGCCCATCCTGAAACAGATTGGTTCAAGAGTCCAGATATTTTGGCCCGTGGGGCCTTAAGTGGGTCTGGCTTTAGGGTGGGGAACCGCTCTCCTCAGGAGGCTTCCTCCCCTCACCCAGTGAACGTGTCAAACCGAGGGAGGTGAATGACCGAAGCTGGAAACGCAAAGCGCGCGTTCGCTTTTGGCACCTCCCCTCTCCCCCCCCAAGGCACCCATTCCTGTAGGCTTCCCTTCCCTCCACTCACGGCTTCTGCCCCGCGCAGGGAGGAAGTGGCTCCCTCCGAGGGACCGCTGGGTTTTATAAAAAGAGCCCCTTGCCCTGGGCCGGACTTGGAAACCGCCGGTGGCCCAGGGAGGTGCCCTTCTACATCGGTTGCCTGTGACTTGGAATACGTAACCCCGTTCCATCTCCTCTCAGCCCCTTTGAGCCTTGAATTAAAGGCCTTCAGAGAGAGGCTCTGCCATCGCAGAACAAGCGTTGAAACTACCCGGGTCAGATGAAGACGCTGAGGCTGGCTGAACTCCTCCTTCCTTTCCTGTCTTTAGGATTTCCGGGAGAAAAATACTGACCATATGAGACCAGACATTGTTGCTCTCCTCAGAAGCAGCAAGAGTGCCTTCATCTGTGGACTGATAGGGATTGATCCTGTCTCAGTGTTTCGCTGGGCGGTCCTCAGAGCTTTCTTCAGAGCCATGGTGGCGTTTAGGGAGGCTGGAAGAAGACTCACTGCAAAGAAAACAGGTAAGTGTTCAGGATTATATCTATACCCCTTCATATATGTAATTCCTTTTCCTCTTGATTCTTGGATGGATATCAGTGCTTTATATTTTATGGGTAGTTTCTGAATTCTGAACTTCCACTGAAGGTTTTTATGTGCTTTATATGTACGTCCTCAAAATAAGCTGTAAAATATTGAAGGTGAGAAGGATGATACTGTGAGCAGAAGTTAAAGCAGATCTTAATATTTCAGGATGAGTGAATCGGGTCACCTTCTTTTGGAGGATTAATTCTTCAGAGAGCTTGGCAACTGTATAGATTTTGAAAACCGATTATGCCTGCATGATACAAATTCATCTGCCTTTTTGAAAGTGGAGCCTCCCTCCCTCCCTCCCTCCCTGCCTCCCTGCCTCTCTTTCTTTCTTTCTTTCTTTCTTCCTCTCTTTCTTTCTTTCTTTCTTTCTTCCTCTCTTTCTTTCTTTCTTTCTTTCTTCCTCTCTTTCTTTCTTTCTTTCTTTCTTCCTCTCTTTCTTTCTTTCTTTCTTTCTTCCTCTCTTTCTTTCTTTCTTTCTTTCTTCCTCTCTTTCTTTCTTTCTTTCTTTCTTCCTCTCTTTCTTTCTTTCTTTCTTTCTTTCTCTGTCTCTGTCTCTGTCTCTGTCTCTCTGTCTCTGTCTCTGTCTCTCCCTCCCTCCCTCCCTCCCTCCCTTCTTTTCTTTCTTTGTGGGCAAAGCCTTCCATTTATGCAGAAGCTGTCTTAACTCATAGGGAGCAGTGCCAGTGTGGCCAATCCTTCACCTGAGGGGCAGCTGCCTTGAACAGGAGAGGGTAGATTAAAAGAGAGTCCCTGTCCCTCAAGACATGCCAGCTTTGCTTGGTTTGCTGAGCCTTCTTGCACCCAGTGCCAGGCTCCTTCTGGTCTTGGAGGGAGGGAGGGACGGGCGGAGGCCCTTGAGAGCTGGAGGGTCCCGCTGTGAGTCTCAGCCACTCCTGGTCACCCAGGAATCCCTACTTGGATCAAAACGGGAAAGAGGAGGATTCTGCGTCCCCTTGTGCTGGTCCTCTTGTTCCCTTCTGGCAGTGAGGTGTGAGAACGGAGGGGTCGCTTATACATGGCAACTGACCGACCGCCGTTGCCGGCTACTGAGACGCTCAGAAGGGACGGCCTCGTGGAAAGGGTGCCTTGAGGGACTCCTCCTGGCTTGGTTCCTCCTTTCCCGGCACGACGGTTGTCTCACAGACCAGGGCAGGACCGGCTCGCCCCAGCCTGCAGCCGCCCAGGGGTGTGCAAGGCTGCCATCACGCCTGCACAAGTAGCAAGAGGGAGGGCTGTTGAAGCCCCTGGATGAGAGGAAGAGATTCCCCCAGGCCATGAGTTAAAGATGCAGAGCAGTCTTGAAATTTTTCTTTGGTGTACTAAGCGCGTATTTTATTGGGCTGTTTCCTCGCTGTGAAGTTGGAGCAGCCGGGCTGGTTTCCAGGGTCTTGGCCCGAGATCCCCTCCAGTGAGAACTGGTGTTTTTTTTGGGGGGGGGTGTCTCTCCTCTCCCAGGTGTTCCAGAGTCTTCTCCCTCCCCCGTACCCGCAAGGCAGCAAACTATCCATCTGAGTTTCTCCAGGTGAGGGCAGGGTCCCATGGCTGTCTCTGCCCTCCTCTCTCATGGCGGAGGTTTTCCGTCTGGGGCAGGCCATATGTGGCGAGGCTTGTTCTTGTTTCTCCTCCTCGGTTCAGGCCTCAGAATTCCTTTGCCTCTCACAGTGAAAGGCGGTGAATTGAACCGACTGCCCTGCGTTCTCTGTGCAGACATTCATGCCAGACCCTGGCAGACGCCATCTCCTGGTCCAGCTCAGTGACAACACACTTATCCCGAAGAGGCGGTTCTTAAGAAATCTCTCTCCCGTTGGATCTCGGGTCATTCCAGGCATGGGTTTCACAAGCACACTTCAAAAGTCTATCAAGCCTTTAGTGGTAAAATGGATTCATTTAACGTGAAATCCTAGTCAGTTCTGCTCTCTTGTTTGGTGGGCACAGTTCTTGCTGGCCCATTTTGACGCACTGATTGTATTCTTTCGGAAAAGGCCGTTGGCAGAAATGGAACGCTTGGGGCACCGGGAATCCACCCGTTCCTCAGTTTTGCAGCTCTTAGGTCAAAGGCCAGGGCCCCCGGTTCTCGCTTCTGTCCTGCGAGAGGCACCAAGAGGCCCAGGTTCCCTTGTCTTGTCTGGGAAGGTCCACTTTCTTGGCACATCGTGGCCCCAAGGGCGCACGTCGGCTCATGCTTTGCATGTGTGTCTTACCTAGAGTTTTTAATCTGGGGGTGGAGGGGGGAAGAGGTTGTGTGAGACGCAAAACCTGGTTTACTCTTAACAAACAGATTTTTGCCAATATGGTGAGAAGGCAAGGAAACTGGTGTTGCAGATGCAGGGCTTTTGTGGGCTTAAATAATGTTTTTGGACAAGTGGGGCCTTCTCAAAACCTTATTTCTATTTGCCAATTGTTTTCTTGATTGCCTCCCCACCCCACCCACCATGCATTCTGATTTGGGCTTTCCTGTGGTAGAAAAAAGCAGCCATTTCAGATTTAAGAATGTGCCGTGCTCAGTGATGCTGATCATGCATCATCATTTTTTTCCTAAAGAAAAGGGAAGGTGAAGCGGGCAGGGAGGGCGGGTGATGACCGTCTCGTGACTGGGAGTCTCTGCGGGTGCAAAGACTGAGGCGCCGTGTCTTGAGGAACAAATGCCACGACACTGGGACGCAGATTGTGAGGCGTGCCTGACCGGGGAGGGATGCCTGTGATTCCTCCCCCTCTGGCCACTCTTTGCCCTCTGCAGCTTCCTTCCCCTGCGGGCCTCTGACCCAGGGCTGTGGGGCTGAATGGGCCTGGATCCCTGGAGGTGGGTGGAGGAAGGAAAGCAGGTTTGCAAAGCTGTGGCAGGCAAGTGAGGGCGGGGGAACCATAGCCAGGGCCCTGAGCCTCGCTGCTTGGTTTCTTGCGTATAAATCTGTGGACTTCACCTCTAAAGACAGCACCTTGTTCAGAGGAACAGACTCTGATCTGCTGCCCAGCCCTCCATGCCAACGCAGGCGGTCGCCGCTGTAGAGAGAGCCCTCCCACCGGCAGGAGCCGAGGAGCCGAGGGGGAAGCATGGGGATCGGGGGCTTTTGGGGGGTTTCGTTTTGTGTGCCCTAAACCCCTCCCTCTGCCCCTCGCCCTGGGCTGCTCTGGGCTGAACCTGGCCGCTTTCACCTCTAGGTTTGTGGAAGGTCCTCTCTCAGCTAGCCAGCCAGCCAGCCAGCCAGCCAGCTGGGAGCGTGGACAGTTTTCCTCTAGCAAGCCGTTTTCCACGCTCAGGGTCCAGCTGGGAGGTGGCTTCTCATGCCTGTCGCTAGTCTGGCCTGGCGGGGGGGCGGGTTCAGCTGCATTATTTTTCATGGTTCCTCTGACTGTGGGGATGTACCCGGTGCGCAAATATATCTCTTGGCTCTGTTTAAATAGCTTTGTCTGACGCTAATATTTATTTGCAGTGTTGTCTTCCTAAGCGTTTTCATATTTGTGTTCTTGTACATTTAAATATAGATTGGAGCGCTTTGCAGAGTCAGATCTATCTGCCGTGGTCAGCGTTCTCTTGTGCCTTTTGCTGACTCCCTAAGTGGGCACTCTCGGCCTTTCGTACTGTCTAAATATCGGCAAGCTGAAATTGTGTGTGTTTGTTTTCTTTTCTTTTCTTTCCTTTTTTTCCTTCTTGTTTCAGATTTTGGTGAAGAACCTTTTGTTATCCAAACTAAAATGTGATTAGATTTTTCTCCCGTTAGTGGGACAGACTCAGGGAAAGGGTGAACCCTAAGAAACCTTGATTTGCGAGGCTTGGGACTGACTGTCACCAAGGCCCTCAGGACCTCTGGGAGCCTCTGAGGGGCCACGTCCTCCATTGGAGGCTGGGCCTCAGACAGGAGCTGCTCCTCTGAAGCGAAACCCCATTCCTAGCTGTTCTGGTTACACCAGATATTTTGCTGCCTGAGTACAATATTGCTGCCATTTTAGCCCTTCTCTGCCAGGTGCCCCTGTGCCATTAGCCGCTTGGATTCTGTCTCAAGAGAATAAGCCGATGGCCCTCAGAGGTGGTGGAGCTGCTGCCAAGCCGGCACCCAAAGGAGCTTCTCTGTGTTGAATTCTGAACCCCAGGCTGAGAATTTGGCATGTCTAGGAAGTGTCAGGAAAGTGATATATAACGGATAGTTTAATCAGAGGATTAAATCCCTGCTTTTGCTAAGAGCAATAAACTATGACAATATAATAGTACCTATTAATACATATTGGTTTGTAATTTCCAGACAACATCACTAGTCTGTCGGTATTACCTTCCCATGCGTTACTTTAGTGATAACAGGATCACCGTTTCTTCAGGGCATTGTCTAATAGTGCATTAGAAATGTATTATTTTAATGTGGATGGTTATAAACTAGTCTCTGTGTAAGTGGGATCGGGCTTCCTTTCGTCTTGACGACTAAGCACTGAGACGGAAGGGCCGTCGTATCAGAGGCAAGCGGCCCCCGGTGCGTGTAAATAGGAGCCCCTCTGGCAGCCGTGCGTTCTGGGTCCCGGGGCCGCTTGGGTCTCTCCTCCCGCCTGTGAGAAGCCACGGCCCCAGAGGCAGGGGTGGCCGTCTTGGCGGCAGCTCTTGCTTCCCCTGTTTGAAGAGCAGGTTCCCAAACGCCAGAGGTGTCGCGCCCACCACCGTCGCCAGAGAGAGGGAAGCTCTTGCCCGCTCACCCAGAGAGCAAGGAGGCCCTTGGAGGAATTCTGTGTCTGTCGCTCAGGCGGTTGTCCTCACTGTTCTTGATTCTTCTTCCATGGTTTCTGCTTGCGTAATCTTTCTCTTCTCTCCGTGTCTTTGTTTTGCTTCCCAAGGCCATGAGGATGCGGTTTTGAAAAGTGTGGATAGTTTTAGCTTTCTCCACCACCCAGTTCACCAGAGGAGCTTAGAGATCCTGCAGAGATGCAAGGAGGAGAAGTACAGTAAGGCGCCACCCCCCCCACCATCTCTCTGACATGACACTCACACGCTGCAGGAAATGGACACCAGGAGCGTACGGGAGCTGTCAGGCCCAGCAGCCCTGCCTAGAGCCTTCTCGGGCCATATCTGAGGCAAGGCCATATCTGAGAACCCAGCAGGCCTTTGGGGACCCTTACGGGTCGGAAATTCGAGGCAAAGTGGGGCCTAGAATTTGGAAGAGATGCCCTGGGCTTGTCTCTGATTGTAGTCCATGGGCCTCCTAAAGGCACAGAGGCGTTTCCCCAAAGTAACTGCAGATGGATACCCTCGGGATAAAGACAGTGGACTGAAAGCTTTTCAGCACTTACGACCTTCAAACACTTGAAGGGATATATTCTTGGGCATTAATCTGGCAGGTCAAGCCAGAGGCTGGTCCCATTGCGATTTCCCTTTTTGTTTTATCGTAGCATCTAGATAGGAATTTGAAAAAGACCTTTCCACAAAGACTGTAGTGCCGCCTGCCAGAAACCCTGTGCCGTTTGGCAGAAGAGGGGTTAGCAGTGTGGTTACGCACGTGGTCTCCATTTCCTTGTCCTCACTTCTGTTTGTTACATAATAAACTAGTCCTGCATGAAAACCAGGCCTGTTTGCCTCCATTACTAATGATGGCTGGATTCCCATTGTGGCAAGAGAAGGGGTCCAGCAGCATGAAATATAATATCCTCTGCCCTAAAGACTAGCACATGGTGTTTCAGAGGTACCGATCCATGGAGAGAGTCCTGCACGACACCATGATGCCAGCTTGCTCGTTAAGCAGTTTTGCCTATGCCATCTCCCCTTAAGGATCATCTAAGGTGCATCTCCGTTACAGATTTTCCAGATAGGAGAGACAGAGAGCTTATTTCCGAAGTTTGCCTACCTGCCTATAGAGGAAATGAGTCACCTTTTCGTAACGCTGCATGTGTGGGGTTCCGGGGAAGGTTTGAGATCTGATGTGTATAGAAAGGCCAGATTTGCAGCTCATTGGGGCCAAAGAAAGTGCCTCTCTGTACGCTGAGCCTGTTGGGTAGAGCGTCGTCTCCTCCCACAGAGGCTGAGCTTCCCCCCTGAGGCTGGAGATGGAGGGTAAGTGGGGACGTAGAAGGAAGGGCCCTTCTGTTTTCACAAGCGGAACAGATGGGGTGAGTTGCTCAGATTTCGCGTAAGACAAATTGCCCCCCTTTGTTTCGTGCTGTGTGTGAACAGGAGATTGTCAACTACACAACTTGGCAATCTGCTGCTGCTGCTGAGACCGTTCTGCAGGGACCTGCCTAGGAGTTGCCTGGCAGGAGTGCCGCAGAGATCCAGCAAGCTCAGAGCAGCGTCTTCCGCAGCCCCCCCCCTCCCGCAGCTGCCTTTGGGAAGAGCCTCCTGCTCTTTCTTCTTGGCATCTGCTCAGCCGCAGGCCCTTTCCTCCGAATCTGGGGACACCATCCAGCCCCTCTGATTGAAGCCGTCTTCTCCATGAACGCGTGTCATCTGAGACGAGAAGAGGCAACAGCCCGGGAGGCCTTGGCTCGGTTGAGCAGGGATGGAAAGCCATGAATCGTTTTTTGGTTTAGGTGGAGGCTTTGCGTGTGTGTGTGTTTTTTCTCTGTTCTGAATCTGCTCCTGCTTAATTTTGTTGGGTGACCCTGAGTCTATTTGTTTGTTTATTTATTTAAAGCATTTACCCCACCTTTCTCCTCAAAAGGGACCCAGGCAGCTTACATCATTAAAAGGCAATATTAAAGAGTTCCAGCGTGGAGAGAGGGAGACACATTTCTCTATCCATTTTTCACCCAGTACATAATTCTGAAATCCTTCTTTTTCCTAAAGGACAGAGCAGCTAGAACTGTGTGCAGTATTTTCAGATGAAGTTGCACCATCAGTTTGGTGCAGAATTCTTCTGCTGCTGACTGCTTTTGTTTCTTTGCACCTACGCTCAATCCTGCCTACCGTTTTGTTCCTCCATCGTCCAGTTATGAGTCACTCCTAAGGAGAACGGCTGCCAAGCTGAAATGTTACCGGTCTTCTCTTTATTCCGTCAAGGGGTGAAGAGCCACTTTCCCCCGTCTTGACTTCCTGCTTTTTTAGTATGGATTCTTCTCCATTCGTGGCAGGGAAGGGCAGCGGTCTTGCTGACCAGGTGGTGAGGGATGCTCAGGGTGTGTTAAGTTACGACTTGGCAAATGCCCCCCACCCCACCCGTCGCTCATCTACAGGGCACTTGGGCATTTACCCCTCTGGGTCACGTGCCGTCCTCTGCCAAATTGGCTGCCCGCTTGCCCACCCCTGGCTTCTTGATCATGCTTTCAGTTTTGATGCTGCTTTTGCAGAATCAAGTGACCAAATTGATCTGGGGTCAGACCAAGATCTCCCGTAAAACGATGAGAGTTTTAGTTTGTTGGGTCACCTAATTTACCTTTCAGTGATTTTTAAAACTGAAACCAAATCAGTCGTTTACAGAGCTGCAGTTGATGCAAGTACTACATGTAAAAAGAGAATTAGGGTTTGCTTCCCTTAGAAACTGAGGCCTGGCTCTAGGTTTCCCTTAGAGGGAACTGAATCCTGGAAGGAATCAAACTTATTTTGCAAATCTGATTCCTGCAATACAGGAAATCTTATCTTTTTTTTACCAGGTGACTTCAAGGATTTAATTTCCGTGACACCCCCCCCATCCCACCCCGTTTGTTCTTGCATTATGCATTCCCTTTAGCATGGGACTGCTGATTTTCAGCAGCAAACCTGTTTCTCTGTTATGCTGATCCACTCTTAGTTTATTGTTAACACACTCTAGCTTTAGGATGTAGAGTAAATTGGCATAAACGAGAAAGTCCAGGGTGTTTCGGAGCCTTCAAAGAGCTTCTTCCTGTTCCCTGCCCCACGATTTTTAATCCAGCCCTGCCCTTAAAGTCAGCTGCTGTAGCGGAAGGGGAGCCTTGGCGTGATGGGACTGTGATTTGCACCCTTGTTGTGATGATTCCTCTTTCGGTCCCTAGCTTTGCCTCGTAGCCTCCCCCAGTTGTGGGTTCTCTCCCGAAGAGCCCTGCTCCTTTCTTCCCCATCACAGGACTCTCTTGTTCTGCAGTTTTCTGGGAAGAGGGAGGGCCGGTGGAGGCTGGAAGTGTGGGCTGGACCTCAGAGCCTTGTATGCTGAGGTAATCCAAGCTTCAGTCTACATACACCCTTGAGTAAGGAGCACAGTATTTATACGTCCTCCGCTCAGCTTGGTTTTTGTATCTGAGACATGAATCTGTTGCGACATCTGTTGCAAATAAAACACATTCGCCATAGAGCAGGGCGGCAGCACATTGAACAGGGTGCCCGTGTGTGGCATTTCGTGGGTTCTGCGTTTGTCAGTAGCTGAACAGTTGGAAGGAAGGAAGCAGCCGACACACAGAAACAAACTATTTGCCAATAATAATCTGCTCCGAGGTTGTCTTTCAGTAGTTACAGTACGTCTGTGCCTTGTAAAACTCTTCAACATGGTTTGACTGGTGAGGCCGTTGGCTTTCAGTGCTAGGGAAGCTGGACTCTCCCTTGTCCTCTCTGTTTTGTTTCCTGGACGCAGAGGTGCTTGTCTGTCTTAAAAGGTATTAGGATGGGAAGTAGATTCTGTGGCAAACCAACTAAATCATGCTCTCCCTTGTTTGCAGAACAGGCGTCAGCTCTCTTGCATCCTATGACTAGCCCTGTCTCTCTCTCTGCAGCCCTCTCCTCCCCATTCCCAGCATGTATCATTTCCAGCATACGTTGCAAGTTTAATCCATATTTGTTTTTTAGTTTGGTATTGTGATTTCCCCCCCCCCCCTTATTGAACATTAACTTTGCTGCTGTGGATGTGCTGCTACAGGTATTGCCCGGAAATGCCCAAGAACACCTCTTTCGGATCTCCAGGGAGGCGTTAACACGATCAATGAGAAAAGCCAGCGGTGAGTGAAACCGCCAAAGAAAAAGCGGCGCCTACGAAAGAGTGGCGACCTTCTTCAGATGAGCTTCTCTTCTAAAATACCTGCCTTTTTTTTCCTCCCCTCGTTGTGGAAGCTCCGAGGTGACCCTGTGCTTGTTTCCCATGTTGCAGTGATGTCTATGGAGTCGGGTGGAACAACAGGATGGGAGTCCGGCCAAGCCGGCTCTCCAGCCATCACAGCGCCCTTGACAAAGACGGGATTTTTGTGAATTCGACGAATAGCAAGCTGCTGGAGAGAGCCCATGGCATCCTCATGTTAGTGTGTCTTTCTTTTTTATCCCAAATCTGGATGGATGAGTAGACAGAAGAGCTTCCTGTTGCTTCTCAGTTTCTGTCCCCCTGAGGAACAAAGAAAGAAGATTTCCAGGCCAAGGGGGTCCTGTTCAGCCAGAAATTATCCCGGTTCACTTGTGCCTGTTGACTCCCAAGAATGGGGAAAAATACTTCCCGGGTTTTCTGTCTCACTTTTAGCATCCGGCGCCTTCGTTGGGACGGACAGGCATCGCCCTTTGCTCTCATGCTTCAGGCAGCAACACGTCACCCACCATGCGCGACTGGAGTGCGTGGAGGGACAGCCCGCTGGCCTGTGTGCCATTTGGGGGCCCCCAGTACCCCCCTGCCCCACCCTCAGGACCTATCATTCCCCCAGAGCATGTCTTGTCATGAGACCTCTGAAGATTTAAATTAAAAGGAGGCCTTGGATGGCATACTTCTCTTCATAAATGTTCCGTTATTGTAATAAATTCCATCAACCCGTTTCTTCCATCTGATATCCCCTTGCCACTTAAGAGATACAGCTGAACAGTATGGTGTCCACTTAATGAATTGTGGATCAGAGAATGTCACATCGCCTTTCAGTCCATAAAGAATGGTGTCCCGTGATGGTGGGTGGGTCTATAGAAAGAGATGTGAAATCTTTTTTTTGAGAGAGAGAGAGAGTACAGTGTCTTCTCAAAAATAGTTTCTATGCACTTAATCTTGAGCATTAACATTCGTATGAAGAGAAACCAGAGAACAAAATCCATGAACTCCAGGCCGATTCCATTTTTTTTTAATGTTGTGCCAAAACAAGGTTTTTAAAGTGTGACTATAGGAGGGGAATCTTTGTCCCATGGCAGGTGTGAGTTTGAGCCACCAGCCTCTCCCTTCAACCCTCATGTGGATCCTCACTTTTTTTTTTCCTTAGGCGAAACAGGAACGTCAAGGCCAAGCCTAGCCTTCCAAAGGTGAGAGAGTTCAAGTACTCTGCATCAAAGCGCTGCGGACGCATGAAGCTGCTTCACGGGCGATGCTCTTTTCCCATTTCCTCCTTGTAAGAAAAGCGTATAGAAAAATGTCCCCTGGCCTCTACGAATACAGTGTGCCTTGCGTTGTCTGTGCAATTGGTGTATTCTGAACTGTGCAGCTGTGCTGCTTTATTTATGGAGAGAGAGAGAGAGAGAGAGAGATTATCTCCACGAAGGCCACGTGGCTGCTCCCACGCTACCAGCCGGTGGGCTTTGTGCACAGATGCCGGTGCCCGGCTGCACTCACAACCCAGTTTAGCTCTTGGATGTGTGTTTTCTCAGCATTTGCTGGAGGTGACGTCCCTCAAGCACCTGGCAAACCTGACGTTGCACGACCGCATCACCAAGTCGCTCCTCCATCTTCACAAGAAGAAGAAGCCTCCGAGCATCAGTGCACAGTTTCAGGTTGGCTGCAGTTTTTGATGCCGAGAGACTGGGCTACAGGAAGAATGTGACGTTGGTGTTCGGTCAGCAGAAGAACGGGGGGGGGGAACACCACAGGCATCACATTGTTTCTGTAGCTCGATAGGAACCCTGTATTTAGAGCAACGTTGTTCCTGAGCCTTAAGAGTTCCTGGTTGTTGGGGGAAGAATCATGCTGCTTAGCCCCGAGGTAAGGCTGGGCTCCTTTTCAGCTGGGAGGCAGGAAGGTCAGCAGCACCCGGGCCCCTTCGCCTCACCTTCCGGGTTCCTCCTTTGTGAGCTCGGAACGGGTCTGGCATCCAGTCTCCTCAGCGGTGTCCTTGACCAGTCTGTCGTAAAAGTGGTTAATGTTACTCTGTTCCCAGTTTCATTTCTGGTGGAAAAGGCAGGTTCAAAGCAGGACAGGGGACGGTTGGGGAAATGTTGCCTCCCAAACATGGTTTTCTCGTTGAGTCTCCTTTGCATGGCATTCTCTACTTCAGACATCGCTCACCAAACTGATGGAGACCCTTGGCCAGTCGGAGCCCTATTTTGTGAAGTGCCTTCGATCCAACGCGGAGAAGGTGAGCACCTCCCCGATTCCGGGCCGCCTGCAGCCGGAACCCGAGCCGGAGTGATTTGTGATTCCTCCAACTCTCAGCTTTGGAGAGGAGAATGCAGGCCAGGCTTCCTTTTCTGGTGTGTTTTCTTGCTCTTTGGGTAACAGCAGGAGCTCTCTGCCCTGATCCTGCTTTAGGTCAGGGTGAATTCGGTCGGTTTCCTCACTTCCCGTTTGAGAAGGAAAAGCAAAATCCCATCCGATTGCACAAACCGTTGAAGGCGCTTGTTGACAGGAGAACTGCCCGTCACTTGACTTCACCTTAATCGTCCGTCCAGCAGTTGAAATACAGGCAGTGTGGCCTCAGAAGCCATTCCGCTTCTTTCCCTTGTTCAGTGAATGTGGAGGTTTCTTTATTTATTCTGTGGCTTTAACCTCCTGCTATTGAAAGACTTCCTCTCCCTCCCCACCCATCCAGTCATAACTTTTGCACAAAAAAGTTGCTGTCCTTGGTAAAACCAAGTTTCAAAATGCTGATTATTTTTAAAGAAAAACATGTAAATGCTTTGGATTGGATATTGTTGGTCATTCCGAAACGCCTTCTGTTATTGGCTGATAAAAATGCGACCAACTGTTGACATCGTTTTAAGGGTTTTCTGTTTTAGTGGCAGGAATTTGGTTTTCAGGGTTGTAGACTCAAACATTTTAGTTGAAAACTAGCCTACTAAAGCAGACAGGAAGGCCCTCTCCTGCTCTGTTGCTGTGAGGCTGGTGTGGAGATCACGCTGGGATGCCGTGCCCGGCCTGACCCTTGTGTGTTCTGCATTTGTAGCTCCCACTGAGGTTCAACGACAGCCTGGTCCTTCGGCAGTTGCGATACACAGGGATGCTGGAGACGGTGCGCATTCGGCAGTCAGGATACAGCTGCAAATATTCTTTCCAGGTCAGACAAGCTTTTCTGCAAGCCTTTCCAGGACGGAGGGCCAAATCTGGGGCAAAGCTTTTCTGTCCCCCCATATACACCCCTTTACAGGGAGGGGCAACGTACAGAAGTGCACAAAAGGCATTATTGCCCAGGGAGGGGTGTTGACGTGTCCGATCTGGAGAGTAAACCAGCTTTGTGAGCAGGGGTTTGCAACCCTGTAAGAGCTGTGTCCTGTCCCATGTCTTGGGAGCCACCTCTGCCTGTCTGGCATGGTTAAGACAGAGCGGAGGAAGGCCCAAAAGGCAGGGGGGACGGCAGCCAAGGCAGCGGGAGGTCCCTCGGAGGTGGAGGGTGCAGAACAGCTGGCCAGGTTGGCCCCAGCCGTCCTTGGAGGCCTTGCGGAGCCCCCAGAGCCGCCCACTTCAAGTCTCCGGAGTGCCTCATGGAAGAGAGGGAGAAGGCAGGAGGGCAGCAGAGCATGGAGAGCGAAGGAGCAGTGGGTGTGCCTCCGAGGTGCTGATGGAACCGGTGTCTTCTGCTCGCTCGCTCATCTCCCCTGAGCAGGAGGCGGTGCGGATGCTGGCTGGCCTGGGGTCCATTGGGGCCCAGGGCTGGAGCTCCTCCACGGACCGAATTCATGTCCTTGCTGACCCTCTCCCATCGCACTTCCTGAATTGAGGCGTAGACACCCCTGTGGAGCCTGTCGGACTTGCAGGAAGAGTTAACTTGCAGGATTGTCCGATCCCTCAAGAACAGAGAGGCTGCTTCAGAAACAACGTCCTCTTTCTCTTCTTGCATGGAGGGAGGTGTGCATTAAGACAGGACGTGTGAAATCACACTACCTCTGGGAAGAGGGGAAGACTTTAAAAGGAGGCAGGCAGGCAGGAAGGAAGGAAGGTCGCCTCCATTCCTGATCCGCTCCCTCGAGCAAGCCTGAGATCCACAGGCAGAGACGTTGCTGCCTCTGGTGACCCACCCTGGAGGTGTTTACTCCAGCGGTGGTGCAAGGGGCTTGTGTGAGCTTTCATAATAGAGTGACAGAGCAGGTGCCCGTATCGTAACCGTGTCGGTGCTCATCTGGTTTTCCAGGACTTTGTGGGCCATTTCCATGTTCTTCTCCCACCGGGGACTGTCCCGTCGAAGCAAAATATCCAAGATTTCTTGAGGAAAACGAAGATCACCCCAGACAGTTACCAAGTGGGGAGAACGATGGTGAGTGCCGCATCTCAGCCTGCGGTTCCTGGGGGTGCCACCTGAAAGGGGCGCCGTTAGCATGCAGAGGTCACACGGCTCCTTGGCGCCGCCTCTCCTGCACAGCCTCTGTCGGGTTTCTTGAAAGCTTCCCCACCTGAAGGCCGGGATGTGCCCGAGGGATCACCTTGGGGTACCTTGGAGATGGGAATGGAATGAGAGGTGGGCAGAACCAGTTTTCCTAAATGTATTTGCAAAGAGAGTGGTCTGTCCCTGCGTTAGAGGGGTGCCTGGCTGTTAAGACGGACTGGACAAGGATGCTTAGCAAGTGGCCTCTGTCGGCCGGGCCAGGCCAGGCACCCATCTCTCCCTTCTCTCTTGCGGCGCACCAGGTGTTCCTGAAGGAGCAGGGGAGGCAGTCTCTGCAGGGCCTGCTGCACAAGGAGGTCTTGCGAAGGATCACCCTCTTGCAGAGCTGGTTCCGGGCGATGCTCGACAGAAGGCATTTCCTCAACCAGAGGCAGGCAGCCCGAGTCATACAGGTGAGCTCCGCCTGGCGATTGTCATTCCTTTCACCTGCCAGATAGCGTCTCTCTCTCTCTCTCTCTCTCATATGTATATATATATATACAATTTTCCTTCATGTTCTGGAGGATTAAAAAGTGTGTCTGCTGCTTCTAGGTGAAAAAGGCTCTTTGCCTCCATGGCAAAGCCTTGGTGCAGAGGTGGGCCAGTGGGTGTCAGAGGGAAGGCTCCTTCCCTCCTGGGGGAAGCAGAGGAGAGCTGTGGGGCTGCCAGTGTGGGCGGAGGGTGGCTTGGGCTCTCGCCTTGTAGGTGGAGTGGTGGCGAGGCTCCCGGGCCTTTTCAGAAGGAGTCCTGGAAAAGGCCTGGTGTCCCCCCCCCCTTTTTTTTCTTTCTTTCACTCCCCCCTCTAGCAACACTGGCGTCTGTGTGAGAGACGGAGGCGAGCGGAGGCGGAAGAGTCCTTGAGCCACGCTCGTTCGGTGCATGAGGCAGCCACCACCCTTCAGGCCTCCTGGCGAGGCTGGGTGGCCAGGCGGAGGTTCCAGCAGATGCGGGTGGCCAGCCTGGTGATCCAGAGCCATTGGCGGGAGTGCCTGTGGCGCCGACACGCGGCGGCCACGTTGCTCCAGGCACAATGGCGGGGCTCCCACGCCAGGAGCCACTCTCGGGCCCAGAGGGACGAAGCGGCCTTAGGAGGACACGGAGCACAGCAGAGGTGGGTTGTCCGGGCCACCTTTCCTGAGAGGTCTCCCTCGGGGCAGGGGAAGGGCGGCCCCCCAGGTCCTGTCAGTCATCTGCTAAAGGAGCCGATGGTCCGCCCTGGCAGCAGGTGGCCTTCCTCTACCTCTCGGAGATGCAGGGGGTGCCAGGGCGCAGCGTCATTGTGATGGGGATGCAGGAAGATCAGGTTCCCCCCCACACACACACACACCGAAGGGGCTGGCTTGAGAAACTCTGTGATCTGCTTAGCTCTGTCGAGGCAGAGGAAACGGGGAGCCCTCTGTCCCCCTGTGCCTGTGGGGCGGCCTGGTGGCCTGAGGAATTAGCTTTGGGGAAACCAGGGGGCCGGGTAGGTGGGAAAGGGGGTAAAGAGGGAAGGAAGGAAGGAAAAGGGGAGGCTCACTGCCATGAACCGAGTGGCTGTGAGCATCCCTCTTTTTGGATACAATAGGTTAAGGACTTTGGAGGAGCAGAATTCGAAAGAGGCACCGATGAAGAAAGGTCTTGATCTTCCAGAAGAAGGTGGGATGGAGCTGGAGGAGCGTTTGGGTGCGAAAGGTTCCGACCCTTCTGAGTGGGAAGATCATTCCTTTGAAGAGCGTGTGAGAGCTGTGGAAGAGCACAAATTGGAGACGGAAGATCCCGGGGCTTCTTTCTACACCCACCCCAGGAAGGCCACTAGCCAGAGCGGAGCCAGCCCCGAAGAGCTGACCGCGGTGAGAGGCAGGCCCAAGTCCCTGGAAGACCTGCACCAGAGGAAAGGGGTGCGCGCCAAGCGGGAGAGCCGGCGGATGCGTGAGCTGGAGCAAGCCATCTTTAGCCTGGAGCTGCTGAAGGTTCGCTCCACGGGAGGGGCCTCTGCGGCCGAGGAGCAGCAGCAGGAGCAGGAGGGGTCCCCGGAGCCCCTCTCCGAAGAGGTGCCCTCCCCGCGGGGGACGCCGGAGAGCGAGGGCTCCCAGGGCAGCCTGGAGCTGCCGAGCCACGAGGAGGAGCCTGGGAAGGGCAGGGTGGAGCCCCTGGCCTCCAGTGGGAGGGAGTCGCAGCCTCTTCCGGGGAACTCGAGGCCCCAGAGTCCCCCCCAGGGGGCGGTTCACGGTGCCCCCCGTCCGGCGGCTGATGGAAATGGAGCGGTATCCGTCTCTGGCGCTGAGTCTCCAGAGTGCCTTGGCGTTCGGGAGCGCCCGGCAGGAGATGCCCAAGGCATTGCCGTCTCTTTGGGGCACCCAAGGCCGTTGCTGAGTTCCAGCAGCCTCCCTACTTTCTACCTGCCTCCCCAGGACCTTCTGGAGACGGCTCCGTCTGTGCCAGAGACGAACGGGAGGACCCAGCCAGTGGAAACGGGGAGCAAACTTTCCTTTCCAGAAGCTGGGAAGAGCTCGGCCTTGGAACAGCCGGGGCCGAGGCCTGCCTTTCATGGGGAAGCTCTGGAGGGGGCGGCGTTTCCCGCCTCAGGTGTGCCGTCTTCAGAGTCAGTGATTCAGAAGCTGGAGAAGCTCAATGTGGAGAAGGAGGAGCGCCGAAAGCGGAAGCAGCTGCAGAACGAGAAAGAAATGATGGACCAGATCCGTCAACAGAAGGAAATTTTGGGGAAGCAGCGTAAAGTTTTTGAGGAGCTTGAGAGGCAGGAGAGTGAGCAGCTCAGGATCCAGGAGCCCTCGCAAGGACCCTCGCCAAAGCGGGGAGAGGGCCCACGACCCTCCCTCTGCTGGGCGGATCTCCAGGAGCAAGGGGAGCGCATCCTGGCAAGGAGCCCGGACCCAAAGCCCGTCCCCGCCTTGAGCAGCCCGTCCCTTCCCATCACCAAAAAGGGAAGCCCACCTGCCATCCGGCCGACCCACAAGGAGAGCACGATCCTTTTGATCCTGGAGCGGAAGGAAGGCCAGGCGGCCACCGCGGAGTCGGCCGGGAGAGAGCCCCCCCCACAGGCGCCGAGAGCGGCTGGATCTTGGGAGGGCCCGAGCCACCCGCCCGCGAGGGAAAAACGCTTCAGGCTGCCCCGGATCCCCAGCCAGAGCACCGACAGCTCTTCCAGCGAAACCCGAGTCAGCTCCATTTTTTTTACTCCAAAGGACAGTCACTTCACGGGCATTAAGTGAGTACAGTGTTGAAAGGATTCCTTTTCCATTTTGTGAGGCTGATTTTAAGTTCTCCTGAAAATGATGGCTGGGAGGAGGGTGGAAGGAAGAGGTGTCCCTCAAGGGAGGACATAATAAGGATGCCTGCAGGCAGAGTTAATAGCAAAAGGGCAGCCTGGCCTCCAGTGGGAGGGAGTTCCACAGCCTGGGAGCAGCAACTCTCCCGTGTCCCCACCGGGTGGGACCAAGAGGAAGCTCCTGATGACTCGTAACGAGAACTTTGCTTGCTGGTTTCAGGAAAGAATCTGCAGCCCAGCCGTTCCTCACCAAAGAAGAGCCCCGAAAGCCTCTGA